GGTTGTCATCAAACTTCATGCAGCCAAGGGCAATTTCAAGATTGTGGTTCTCTTACCTCCCACTCCTGAGTGCTGGGAATGTACTTCAGGTGTGTACTTCCCAGTTTATGCAGTGCTGGGGACTGAACACAGGCCTTGGGGCATGATAGGCAAACACTCTACTGAGCAACACCTCCAACCTACTATGTATGTTCGGTTAGCTACCTTACATCAAAATGCAAATTGATTGGTTTGTGAATTAATCACATACTGACATAATTTGTATTTATCATGTGTCGAACATCCTCTCTAGCGATTTTAGTATTCATGAATAGAGAGCCGTGGCCCTCGGGGACAGGTGACCGTTCATTTGCTTCCATCGTGTAGACTCTCTGTTTCAGCTCCACATTCAGAATGCCACGTCAGCTTGTAACGCAGCTCCATTGTGCGGTCAGTTTCAGTAGGACAAAGGCCCCAACATAACACAAGCCAGCCCAGCAGCCCCTTTGGCTAGCTCCTGAGGCCACCTCCCTTCTCTCGATTTCTCTGGTTATGCTTTGCTGACTGCTGACTCCTGGCATAGTCTAGAACAATCGCTCCCAGGTCATCATCCCTCTCCCATCTATAGTCAAGGGCTCCAGCTAGCACTTGGGTCAGACCAGGACCCTATGTATTTTGAAATCCAACACATAATTCAAGATACAGAGTAACCAAGGGGTTAGCTATCTTGTTTCTACCCTTCTGTTCTCCTTCTGAGTGAGTCACTGGCCAGACCTACAGGTCAGGTTCCACTCTGAGCATTTTATGCATGTCCCTTCACATATGCTGTCCCCTAGGGCTGTGTCTTTGCTGTTTTTCTACTTCCTCTCCTTGGATGCTTCCATCTGTAAACATCCCTCTCTTGAAATTTATACATATATGAGAGTGGGAGATGGGATAACCAAAACTGAGTGTGTGGGGAGAACCCTTATGGAAACCCACTACTTTGTAAACTAGTTAAAGAAAATGAGGACTGGAGAGATGGCTCAGAGGTTAAGAGCACTGGCTGCTCTTCCAGAGGTCCTGAGTTCAATTCCCAGCAACCACATGGTGGCTCACAACCATCTAGAATGAGATCTGATGCCCTCTTCTGATCTGCAGGCATGCATGCAGACAGAACACTGTATACATAACAAATAAATAAATCTTAAAAAAATAATAAAATAAAAGTCAGGCAGTGGTGGCACACACCTTTAATCCTAGCACTCAGGAAGCAGAGGCAGGAGGATCTCTGGATTCAAAGCCAGCAAGTTCCAGGGCAGCCAGGGCTACACAGAGAAACCCTGTCTCAAAACAAACAAAAGTAAAATAAAATGAATAACTGGAGGGTGTGTTGAGCATAGGCACCATGCTTGGGTGGACAGTGCTTTTCCAGAAGGCTTGCGTTATCACATGAAAATCTTGTCCATGGTCTCCCATGAGCAATTGATCAGCGAGGCCCTGAGGCCCCCAAAGAACCCAATCTATTGTCATTGCTTTAGCTGTCTACCAGACTAACTGGTAAGCCTCTATTGCTGAACACTTCAGTGGAAGGACACAGAGAAACCTAACAGAACTGACCTGAAAACTTCCTCCTACTGGTTAGATGTCACAGTGCCCAAGATGCTATGCCAGAGACAAGCCATCGATGGTGCTATCTATTGGTGAGCCCTGCAAGCAGCAATACAGACCTACCAGGCCCTCTGGTGCAACAGTGGCATGAATGTGTGGGGCAACCAACTACTTTGGGATTGGATTTGAGGCCTGCTTCACAGGAGCAAAGTCATGCCTAGTACTGTAAACCAGGGCAAAAGCCCATGACTGCAGGTTGGAGAGATGGCTGAGAGGTTAAGACCACTGGCTGCTCTTCCAGAGGTCCTGAGTTCAATTCCCAGCAACCACATGGTGGCTCACAACCATCTATAATGAGATCTGGTACCAAGGCATACATGCAGACAGAACACAGTATACATAATAAATATATAATCTTTATTTTTTAAAAAACCCACACCGGGGGAAGTAAAAGAACCTGTGAGGGAAAGTTCTATTGTCTTGAAAAAAGGACATGCCAAGGGTACAATACTCACTCTAGTCAGGGTCCAGGGACTCTCATGGCAGAGGAGGCAGAGAGCAAGAGCAAGAGAACCTGAACGGGAGCTGTGCCATCTTCTGGACAGGACATAGTCTTTGAACTCACACACTTCCTGCAGCTATGGTTACCTACACAAGACCAGGCCAACAAGGTCAGTTAGCGGTTCAACCGGCAGCAGTGGTACTCAGAGGGTCATAAAAGGAGAGGAGGAGAAGGAGGAAGAGATGAAACAGGGAGGATGGCAAGTTGAGAGTGCTTGGGAGGAACAGGAGGGCAGTCTGGAGTGCACAGTATCGAGACACATCATCCACAAGTACGGACTTACCAAAGAATAAATAAAGTGACGTCCTCACAACCATAGAACATTTTCATGTGGTCGTACCGTAGACATCAAATGCAGCTTCCCTAAACTCAGCTAATTACAAACCTTTCATTCCTTCCCCACCTAATTACCCACCTCTCACGTGGCTGGGTCAGTTTGTGTCTTCTCGAAGATCTCTGTTGGCCTAGGACCCTGCTTCTCTGGTGTCTCATCCTCTCCATTCATGTTCCAACTTTACCTTTGCACGAGAGGTCAGTTTGTCATTTTGTGTTGTCTTAAACAGCTCCTGAATATCTGGAAGAGTGGTTTAAATTCTCTCGTAACATATGCCACTATTTATGATTCAGCCCCAACTTTTCAACTATCCTCCCATCTTCTCAGCTCCACACTCTGAAGATACCATGCTCCTGATGAAGTCCTCCATTCTGTTTCTAACCCAGTGCTTTAACTTAAGCTCCCACCCTACCCAAAATGCCTTGCCCTCTCACTCAGGAAAAATTCTATCTTTTACCCATTAGGATGCTCGTAAATATTAAGAATTGATTGCTTGATGCACCGGGCAGTGGTGGTGCATGCCTTTAATCCCAGCACTCGGGAGGCAGAGGCAGGCAGATCTCTGAGTTCGTGGCCAGCCTGGTCTACAAAGCTAGTTCCAGGACAGCCAGGGCTACCCCAAGAGACCCTGTCTTGAAAAAAACAAAACCAAAATGAAACAACGAAAACAATAAGGCAGATAAATCATCTGAATTATGAAGGTAAGTTTATTTGATGGTAAAAATAAAATAAGAAATGACAGGTAAAGCTATTCCCTGAATGAGTATAAAATAATGGAGGTATATCCAAGCCTGGCAGTACAGACCTAATAATCCCAGATACTCGGGAGGCTGTGCCAGGAGGACCCAGAGTTCAAATACTGCCCCAGGCTGCAATGTGAGTGCCACGGCCAACTTAGTGAGACCTTGTCTCCAAATTAAAACAAACAAACAAACAAACAAAACAAAACAAAACATATGTATAAAGGCCTAGGGATACAGACCAGTGGTCTTGATAAAAACAGAGAGGAGAGGATGAGGAGAAAGGAAAGAAAAAAGGGGAGGGGAGGAGAGAGGAGAGGGGAAGGGAGGGAAGGGGGAAAGGGGAGGAGAAGGGAGGGAAGGGAAGAGACCCACTTCGGAAACAGTTCTCTCATTACTACCCAAATCCAAAGCATTAGCAAAGCAGGGCAGGATTTCCCTCACCATTTTTGCTCCTAGAATTGAAAAGTCAACAAACCAGAAGGAGCGATTGGTAGGACCTGCCAGGACCGCGTTAACCAAGCGTGAGCTCGCCGTGAATAAGGAGCAGAGGGACCTGGTTAAGGGAAAGCGACCCGATGATGGGCAGGCGGTCGCGCAGACGAAGCAGAGGAAAGAAAAAGAGAAGGAACCCCCCAAGCATCTTAGTGGCTTTGTGATCAACCCTCTTGCCCTTTTCCTATGTGCCCGGAGCCAGTCCCGCCACGCTGCCGTTTCTCCCAGTTGCGCTCACAAGTCCCAACATCTATGGCTTTCCTTTCACCGAGTCTGCAGGTGGTCTCTTTCAAGCTTCCTTCCCCTCAGGTATCTATCTCCTCCTGGGCCACTCCTGGAGGTGAGGTTACCCTTTCCCGGTTTTTTATTCCTAGGGGCACACCTTAAAGTATTAAAAGCAGCTTTGTAATTAGAAAAAAGGTCAACAAGCTGTACCTCTCCCATTACGTGGATGAAAAAGCTACGCCTGACTGAACTCTGGTGGAGAGAATGAGTCACTACACTTCAAAAATAAATAAAAATCCCCGCCAAATTCTTTCATACTTTAAAAAATAATGAGCACAATGTTGGTAATTCCGGCACTCGGGAGGCAGAGACAATCCGACCTCTGTGAATAGTGAGACCCTATCTCTACTACTACTACTACTAATAAATAGTGGTAGTAATAGAAAAAATGAGTATACCCTGGCACTTGGGAAGTTAAGACAGGAGGATCTAGAGTTTGAGGCCAGCAAAGACAAAAGACATGAAAACAGTGAGCATATAGTAGACAGTCTGTCAAAAGTGAAATTTAAGCTTTTTTTTTTTTTTTTTTTTACTGTGTGTGTCTATGTGTGTGCATCTGGAGGGGGTGGGGGGTCGAGACAGCGTCTCACTGTGTAGCTTTGGCTGTCCTGGAACTCGCTCTGTAGACCAGGCTGGTCTCAAACTCACAGAGACTCCTTTGCCTCGGCCTCCCTAGTCCTGGGGTTAAAAGTGTGCGCCGCTACCTCGGCTTAAACTATTTATGCCGGGCGGTGGTGGAGGCAGAAGCAGGCGGGTTTCTATGAGATCGAGGCCAGCCTGCTCTACAGAGTGACTTCCAGGTCAGCCCGGGCTACAGAAGACCCTGTCTCAAAACCAATCAAACACACGACAGACTCTGGTTACGACGTCTCTCTGGAGGTCCTACTTAGGCGAGACATGACCTATATAGTTTCTCAGTAAGGAAACTGGGCACAGCCTACCCAGACCACAAACCGCACGGCAGGGCAGACGCAGGCGCGCTCGCACCACGTGCTCCGAACGCAGGCCAGCCATTGGTCGGTCTGCCGCCAGGGGGCGTGCCCTGTGCTTCTGGGGCACAAGATGGCGCTGCCCTTTGCACGTTGCTGGAACTTGTACCGCTGGGGAGCCAAGCGATGGGGGGTTCCTGCCGGGGAAGCCCGGAGAGGTAGCGTTCTTTCTTGTTATTCTTTCACGCCAAAGTAGCTAACGTTTTATTCCCAGAGCGCGCTCAGAGAACTCCATTCCTCGTCTCCACTCCCGCCCCCCCACCAAGTCTGCCTTAGTCTAGCAAGATTTCAAACTTGGGGCACCAGTCGGTGACTTCCCTCATCCCACGGCCGTGATTTGCGGCTCCCGGGACTGCTATACTAAAGCCACATCGCTACTCTTTCCATCTTAACATTTGACTTTTCCCGTTTTCCCATCATCGCCTGACTGCTTCAGATTAAAACCAGCCCTAGGTTCTAACCTGTCACTACCCCCATTCCTTTTTTTTTTTTTTTTTGCTTTGCCCTCAGGCATCAGTTTCAAACTGGAAGAAAAAACTGCCCACAGCAGCCTGGCACTCTTCAAAGGCGACACGGGTGTCAAATACGGCTTGGTGGGATTGGAACCCACCAGGGTGGCCCTGAATGTGGAGCGCTTCCGGGAGTGGGCAGTGGTGCTCGCAGACAGCACAATCACCAGTGGCAGACACTACTGGGAGGTGACGGTGAAGCGGTCTCAGCAGTTCCGGATAGGAGTGGCAGATGTGGACATATCCCGGGATAGCTGCGTCGGGGCTGATGATCGCTCCTGGGTGTTCTCCTATGCCCAGCGCAAGTGGCACAGCATGTTGGCCAACGAGAAAGCCCCAATTGAGGGGATTGGGCATCCAGACAAAGTGGGGTTGCTGCTGGACTATGAGGCAAAGAAGCTGAGCCTGGTGGATGTGAGTCAGATCTCTGTAGTCTACACGCTACAGACAGATTTCCGGGGCCCAGTGACGCCGGCTTTTGCTCTCTGGGATGGAGAGCTGCTAACCCACTCAGGACTAGAAGTGCCCAAAGGTCTCTAATGTGGCCGTTACCTAAGTCCCTTAATCATGCTCACAATCGGCTTTCTGTTCAAAGGGTCTAGAGCTGTTTTATTTGTCTCAAGCGACTGGTAGCCCTCACAATTCAGTCGGGACCCTTTGTGCAATAGTTGAGGCCTCTTCCTCCGGTCCCTACTCCGCGGAAGCTAGGTTTACAGCCAAACTTTGCCCTCGCATTACTGCCAGTTTCCCAGGGCACCGGGTGATCTTCTCCTCCAGCTGCTTCCTTGGGGCCCTCTATTTTGTGCCCAGGTGTCTTAGACTGTTCAGTCCCGGGGTCCTCTTTCAGCCACTACCTCTCCTTCCCTTACCCACATGTAACTTGTTTTGGGGGGTTCACCAGATTCTCCAGAGTAAATGCTTTCTACCTCTGGCTGGAGGAGTGGTGGCCTTTTCTCTGATGCACCTGAGTCTTGGGTTCTGGCTCCCTCGTTGCTGTATTGACCAGGTCAGCGCCACAGACGTCAGCGCCAGGCAGATGCTGCTCTCCACACACTGCGTCATCTGTCTTTGCCTGCCACCTCTGATACCCAGCCAGTGTGTCAGAACCACTGTGCCAGTTACAGCTGTGACCAAAGGGGAAGAGACACTCGGGGGACATGCAGGGCTGTAGTGCCAGAAACTCTATCTTTGAGAAGTTCCAGCTGCATTATCTGCCGCAGTTGGAAGCTCCAGAGAGAAGAGCGAGTTTACACAACCCATTCTGGAGCCCGTTCAGACCCAAAACTCCCATCTCACTTGGCCACAGAGTATACTTAAAGCAGTATTTGGGGTTGAGGGAAACCTGGTGGAATAGGTGGATATGTGTGTGGAATATATATTGTTTGTATATACTTTGTCTGACCCCATGGTTCTGTCTTATCCTATTACCAATGATGGTGATGAAATTGGATATCTTTAGGGGAGAAAGAGACTAGATTTAGGGGAAAAAAATCAAGTAATTAAAAGTTTATTTCAACACAAAATACGTTCTCTGTCTATAAAATCGCTGTCAGTGGTGGCAGCATGTCCTGCTAAGGGGACAGATCTCTGCAGATTTCTGGGCCAGGCGCTTTGACTCTGCCTGCTTCTCTTACTCTGTGGCAGATACATATGCCTGTTGGCTACAGCCTCTCCAAGGAAGTATCTTGTTCTCATAGTAACTTCTTCAGAGAGGAACAGGGGACCTGGGTAAAGACCTGGGCTACTTTTGAGTGGATGAAGCCATTGAACTATACCTTGAGGTGTCTATGGATAGCTTCTACTGCAGATGTTCACAGAGGTGCTTCTGTGTGCTGTTTACTGGGGGGTGGAGGGTTTTGTTCTCACAGAAAACACTGGCCTGTGTCACCGAATGGCTGTGTTGATCCCCACTGAAGCAGCTTCCAGCTGTAATTTTGGTGGCTGTGCATTAAATGTATGGCCAGCTCATGCTTTTTCTTGAGCAGGGACTACCCCTGGCCCGTGCTTACACCATGCTTTCTAAGTTCTCTTTGGACAGGGTCTCAGCCGCTGCCTCGGCCTGAGTCTCAGAGAGCATGTAGGAGTCATGGTAGTCTTGAAGCAGTTTGACCACCTCTAAGTGGTTGAATTGCACAGCATCATCCAGGGGAATGTTGCCCCACCTGTGAGGAACAAGGATCACGGTTAGGCAAAGAAGACACAGAGCGTGCCATAGTTGTTTGTCTGTGCATGGTGACTGCAGGGCAGTGGAGAAGTGGGGTTACCCGCCTTCCCGTTCCCACTAACCCTACTCACCTGTCCTTGACGAAAGGATTCACTTTGCAAGCCTCGATCAGAAATTTGACAACTTCAATGTGTCCTAGGAATGGGGACAGAAGGGAAATGAGTGCCCAGGTGGGGCCTGACCACTTTGGGGGACCCTGGGTAGATGGAGTCGGTGCCAGAGGAGAGGAGGTCCCTGACATTTCCTCCTTGCCAGCATCTAGTTAGTCTGTCAGCTGAGGTGCCTGTAGGCAAAACTGGCTGTGCCCTTTGAGAGCACAATGATAGGGGTATGCCTGGTGGAAAAGAAGGCCTCACACACTGCTCTTCCTCTTTACCCCTTTATTATTATTATTAAGATTTATTTATTTATACAGTGTTCCATCTGTGTGTATGCCTGCCAGAAGAGGGCACCAGATCTCATTACAGATGGCTCTGAGCCACCGTGTGAATGCTGGGAACTGAACTCAGGACCTTTGAAGAGCAGGCAGTGCTCTTAACCACTGAGTCATCTCGCCAGCCCCCTCTATAACCGTTTAAATACCTTCAGCTGCAGCAACATGCAGGGCTGTGCGGGAATCATAGTCTTTCTGCTCCATATCCATGGCTGACAGAGCAAACCTGAGGGGATGGAGAGCAGCTCGGGTTACCCACATGGGTCTAGAATCTCTAGTTAGCCTCTGAAGTGGGGCCGGACTGGCCGGATTCATGCTGGTCATCCATTTGAGGCAGAGTCCCCACTTCCAAGGACAAAGCTTGTCATTCCCAAGGCAATCACAGTGCCTGCTGTAGCTAAATTCTTAACCTAAGGCAGGCACTGTGATTTTAAAGCAACAGACCAATCCCTAAGGCTAGAGATGGTCAGTACAGTGCTTTCTGGGGAAGCCGAGGAACTGAGACCCGAGTTTGATTCACACAACCCACATTAACACACACACACAAACCAGGCATAGTAACACTCGCCTGTATTCAGACTGGGTGGGAAACAGACAAGGAAGTCAGGGGGCTTGATTTGGTGAGCTCAAGGCCAGTGAGAGACTGTCTCAAAAAGCAAGGTGGATGGCCCCTGAGGACTGACACCTGAAGGTGTCCTCTGGCTGCCACATGCACACACACCCACAAATGTGCAGCTGCACAAACAGGTGCATGAACGCTCACACACACACATACACACACACAAACAGTCATGCACTCATCTAAATTGCAGCGTGTCCGCTCTAACCCTAAAACTGAAGCATTCAGCAGTTTGCTATGCCGAGTCCCTAATAAGATATCTAACCCAGAGTGTCTCATCACATTTATTTAGTCACAGTAGAATTACCTTCGGAGAGCTGAGACATCTCCACTATATGCAGCAAATAACAGGTTCACCACGGTCTTGTTCTGAAACATACATTGTACCCGTCTGGGATTAACTGTGGCTTTGAATCTACCCATGTCCACCCCTACCCGTGACCCTCTCCATGGACGCTTCACCAAGGACCTGGCTGAAGTGTCACGGGATGTTTTGTTTTGAGATACCCTTTAGGCTGCCCGGGGTTTTCCTTACCCTGACTTCTCCTCCTTCTCGCCGTGGGTCTAACTTCCGCGTACAGTGCCGCAGATTGTCGTAGTTGTGGAAGTTAAAGAGAGAGACCAGCTTCTAGAGGTAGAAGCCAAAGGAATTGCTTACTGATCCCTTGCTCTTTCTAGGAGCCCAAATTGCTTTAACTATAGTGGCTACCATTAATTTATTCTTTTTTGTTTATATTTTGAGACAAGGTTTTTGTGTGTTGACCAGGCTGTCCTGGAACTTTCTCTGTAGACCAGGCTGGCCTCCAACTCACAGAGTTCTCCGCCACCCGAGTGCTGGGGTTTAAGGCATGCGGCACCACACCTGGCTCATTAATTTATTCTTAACAGTATTAAACGCAGAACACTTTACCTGGCAGAAGTTGATGCCCCTTTGGCTGTTCCCCAGCTTGTCTAATGGAGGTGACAGACACATCATCCCCATGACATTGGGCACAACCAGGAGGATGGCTCCAGACACGGCTGACTTGGCTGGCAGACCCACCTGAGGAACAAGGCAGGCAGGTCTAAGTGACAGCATGGACAACGTCTCTGCGCTTTAGCTTGCCTGACTGCTGTCTTCTCCTACCATGCATCAGTGCAGCAGGAAATGCTTGCTAAGACACAAACAGCACTCTGCTGCGGGTGGTGCTCCAACTAGGAAGGGGTCCCCAGCCCTCCCTTTAAAAAAGGATTTTTACTTATTTTAATTTTCCATGTATGAGTGTATGTGCACCACATGATGTGTGCCTAATGCCCGAGAAGGCCAGAAGAGGGCAGTGGTGAGCTCCCTGGAACTAGAGTTCCAGATAGTCCTCTCCCAAAGCAGCAAATACTCTTAAATACCCAGCCATCTTTCCAGCCCCAGGAGACCGCCTCTCATTCAACCTTTACTGTGGTGGTAGGAGATAGGCAAAGAGGAAATAGGGGCTCGTGAGGTGGCTTATCAGGTAAAAGGGAAGGCTTCCTGTACAAGTCTAGCAACTGCGTTTGAGCCTCAGAGCCCACCAAGGTGTACAGAGAGGAAAAAAAAACTGCACAAAGTTGCCCTCTGACCTCCACACATGCACCACCATGCATACACTGATGATAAATACATTTTTAAAATTTAAAAATGGGACCTGGGGACAGGAAAGATGGCTCAGTGGTTAAGAGCACTGGCTGCTCTTTCAGAAGGTCAGGGTTTGGTTCTCAACAACGGCATGGCAGCTCATAACTGTCTCTAACTCCAGTACCAGGAGATCCTATGCCCTCTTCTGGCCTGTGTGAGCACTGTATGTACATGATTTACAGACATACATGCAGGTAAAACACCCATATACATAACTTAAAAGTAAATTTTAAAAAAGCATATTTTTTGAGACAAGGGTTCTCCATGCATCCCTGGTTGTCCTGAACTTGTTCTGTAGACCAGGCTGGTCTTGAACTCACAGAGATCTGCCTGCCTCTGCCTCCCAAGTGCTGGGATTTAAAAAAACAAATTATTTTAAAAAGGGCAGTGGGGAAGACCTGGAGAGGTGGCTCAGTAATTAAGAGCCTGCATTCTTCTTGCAAAAAAACTCACGTTCAATTCTAATCACCAAAACTGGCAGGCTCACAATCAGCTGAAACTCCAGCTTTTGCGGGGGTCCCCCAATACTTCTAGCCTCAGTGGGCATAGTCTGTGCATACTCCCCCATAATAAAAACCAAATCTTTAAAAATAGATAAAATAATTAAAGCAAACACGGGGAAGAAACGGACTAGGGTGCCCTGAACAGAGGTGGAGGTGGTTCTGTTTGACACAATCAGAAACGTCTCCAGGGTCTGGGGAAGCAGTTCAGTTACACGGCACTGGCTGGGGTTGCAGTTCCGTGGCATGGCGCTGGCTGGGGATGCAGTTTGGTGGCACAGTATGGCACTGGCTGGGATGCAGTTTGGTGGCACGGCACTTCCCTACCATGGTTAAGGCCTAGTTTGATCCTCAATACCAAATCAAACAAGAAAAAAGGCCAGGTGTGAAAGTGCATTGCTGTAGTTCCAGTACTTGAGAGGTTGAGGCAGAAGGATCACTGTGAGTCTAAGGCTACAAACAAATGAACCATGCCTCTCCTTGGAAGTGACGTCTAAGATGGGAGTTA